AATCCAGCGACTGGTTAACTGCAAATTTTTGCTTTACTGATGGTATTACACTGCCAAGGGTTCCCTTGCCTTTGCACACACACTGCCCTCTTAGAAACACCCTCTGCTCAAACCCAGATTTACAAATACACGTACAGATATTGTACACATCTGCTTCCACCTGGTGGATTACCAGAGATGGAGACTGCTGTGTTTTTAAAACAAATGTGTAAACCCACCTCTAAAATTAGTTGCATGACAATTCTGTGGGCAGGTGCAGAAGGGAAGAGCAGTTGGGCTCGGGGTGGGGTGGGGGGAAGTTTGCAAGGAATGGAATAAGAATCGCTAAACTGTTTAACATATTTTGAAATTATTTTTCCCCCTCTTAGAAAACAAACAAAAAAGGGTTTTTTCTTCCATTTTAAAGAGTTCCTCAAAATAGAGGAGGACAGAGCTATTCAATACTGCTCTGGGGTGCTTAACATGAATAAATTACTTCAATCAAGTATTTTGTTAAAGAACTTAAAATTCTCTTTCCACAGTCTCCCCTTCCATAATCAGGCAAAAAAGCAGTTTTTAAATGCACATTAAAATATGTATTACACATATACACTGTATATAAACAAAACAAAATCAGAAAGTAATTTATTAATTGCTGGCTGCAACTACAAAAATGAGGGGTTCTTTTAATACTTCACCAAAGCAAATGAGAAATGACAGGGAGTATCCTGAGAAACTCTCAGTTGTAAAGTCTTTCAGGTCTGGTTTCTAAAAATTTCCTTGCTATGATAACTGCAAATGCAGCTTTGCAGTAACTTCCAGTTCCATTTTCATATGCATATTTTTAAATACAGCAGATGCCTTTGCCCTGTGTATACAACATCCGGGGTATTTCATTTCTCAGGAAAGCCAACTCTGGAGATCCTAGAGGTGTGGCACATTTTTTTTGCTCCAGATACTCCTGACTAGAAGAGAAGGTAAATATTATTCAATCTGTTTCCCTCTTGCACCCACAGCAGTTTAGTAAGATACAGTAAGCAGGCTATTGCAAGTTACACTTAAGGGGTCATTACAAATCAAGGCCTCAGTCTTGCTAATGAACTGATACTAATAGGCCCATTCTATGGAACAGACCCATCAGCTTCAACAGTGGTCCCTGAATCAGGAAGTTTGTTTACAACACATGCACAGGTATTTACAAACTTCTGGGCCTTTGTTTTTATTTAGGAGGCTACTGGTGTTTGTTGTGGAGTGCAAATCTTGTCAGACAACTTTCAAGCTACTCTTACTCCATATGGAACCGAAGTGCCTGCAGAGTAAAGCACATTCATGAGAACAGCATTTTCATCTCACATCAACAAACCCCTCAACCAGAAATTCTATACCTACACCTGTACATCACAGTGCAAGAGGAACAATCATGCATTCCCCATGAGTGTTTTGCACCTCAAAGAGCAGACAAATACAAAGGTATAAAAGATTACTAAATTGCTTCCTCAAAATGTGGGACTAGGTTACCAACTTCAGTCTTCACAGAGCTGAACTGACTTACTCTGGTCTGGAGTAAGACAGACATGATAATGTCTGGCTTTCATTGGGTCATTCACAGTCCTTTTTACCTCTAAATTGCAACAGACATTAAGAACAGAATGCACTGGAGAAATTGCCATTGCCAGCTATTATCAGCTATGATAAGAGCTAGCTTATTCAACTGATAGCTATAACTTCAATCTCCCACCCGCTTCACCCTTCCCAAATCTCAATGTCCCTGCATTACAGCTCTGAGGACTAGAAGAACAGGTCGGACTTTCTCCCCCTTTGTAGAGATTCTACGTTTGTTGTGGGTTTTGTTCTATTTCCAATAAGAAAACAGAAGACATGAAAAGTGATTCAAAACCTGAACTCACTTTTCCCTCAGGTTCACTCTCAGAAATGGCCGAAGAATTTTTTTTACTACTTATTTTTCTTTCAAAAACAAATGTGGCCTAAAGCTAAACACCTGACGTAGTTTTTCAGCACAAATGGTTAAAGTTCAGTAGAGCCATATGCAAGAGAAAACAGGGCCCGTAATAAAAGCTGCCTAGTGATCTCCAACTGGAAGTCCTCCTGGCAGCCCATCTCCTTTCATGAAGAGGAACTTACTGACATTCTCTCTCCATTTTTGTCCCTGATGACTCTCTCACTACACCTGGAAATTAGGAAGCTGACTAAGCTCCCTAAAAACTGGTCTGGTCAGTCCAAGTCACCCCCACTCCAAAACAGTGAAAGCAGACAGTGTAACATCTCAGACGACACTGATGGAACTGGCAGCAAACATTAAGAGTACCTCTTTTTCCTGGAGTCCAGTTGCTGTCACAGACCCTCATTCCAAACAAAAGTCATGAGGTATTTTCAATGCGTTTTTGGGGTTGCTGACTTTAAGCCCACAGGATAAACTCCACTAGCGGTAGTTCAAAAGTCAGAAAATGCTTGGGAAAAGAAAGCAGAAAAAAGCTGACATTCTCTCACAATCACTCGAGTACAAGAGCCACAGCCTTAGCACTGCCAGTTTCCCATCTCACTAAGTGTCTTGCAATACTTGTTTTTGTAATCATTTTCCACACTGTCTACACAAAAAAAACTCTCAGAAGCCAGAAGAACTACATTCCTTAAATATGGACCCTTTCCAGACTCACCCCAAACCTTTCTGTGCGTAAGGCCCTACACATACATGAACATGCAGATCATTACAGGCCCAGCAGTTAATTCACCTTCAAGTTGCCCTAATTTTGAGGCTGAGCACTTCCTAAACTCCATCCCTGATGCTCTCCTGGCTCTCTGAAGGAAGGCGGGCTGCCTCCTGCTTCCCCATCCATTCCCGGTTGCCAGGACTGCACTGGGGCCTACCCACGTTGCCTCCCCCAAGCCACACCGGTGTGCCCAATGCGTGGCAGGGTGTGATCACAGTAACCCCTACATACACAGCATCTTTCTTTCCAAGAATTTCACAGCCAGTAGCTGCTTGCTTTCCAGTTTTTCCTTTTCAACTCTTTTTTTAAGACATGGACACCTCCTCCCCCTCATTCCTCATCACCTCCACTCAGAAAGCCTAAGGCTTGCTGATCCCATGGTAGACAGAAAGGTCTTTGAATACGTGGCTGCTGGACGGTCTGTAACCAGCCTGGATAAGGTTCAGACAAGACACAGAGCACATACACTCTTCTAGAAACTTTAAAATCCAAATGCAAATTCTCTGCCCATCACCTTGAATGTTGTCAGGCAATAAAACGCTAATATGAGAAGTCACAGTAGGAGAAGTCACTGGTTACCTGCCTGGGGTCTGATGACTGCAGGCAAGCCCTCGTGAGGAACGGACACGATCCAGCCACCAATGGTAGTTGCCTCCCACAGCCCCTCCAGCAGATCCTACCCTATGGACCAGGCCCCACGTTCAGCTCACCCGTTCCTATGTCTCTCGGACGTAACAACGTTTGAGGGGCCACTAACGGCCTCCTGAACTCCACAGCAACTATGTCCTCTCATCATCCTCTGGCAAGGCTACAGACATAACAAGACTCAACACCACTAACTCCAAGGTAAAATGAAAAATAAAGAGGTAGTCCCTTCCCAAGCTCAGAGCGTACCTACAGATGTCAGCTTGCAACATATGCATTTATTTTCTTTGTATACTTTACATTCCTCTATGACTAAGTCAAGACAAACCCCACTTTGGAAACTTTTTAAGAAGAAAGAGGCCCAGTCCTTCCAATTTTTGTACAAGGAGCAAATCCTCCAATACCCACTTTGTGTGCTTAGGGTCCTGAAAGCTGCCAGAAACAGATGAAGGATGGAGGGAGACAGAAGATTTTTGTGATGAATCCCTCTTTTCAGAAAGTTTTAGAAATAACAATCAAATTACAATCAAATAGATACAATGCATTGCTCAAATCAGTATGTAAACTTAGAATGGAAACTATGGCTTTAGGTTTTCTACTTATATTTCTTTACATATCTCTAATTATATTTCCTCTTATATTTCTCTTCTTATATTTTAACTGCAAAGGATAAACTGTCTCCTGTAAAACAAAATTACTTTTCATCTTCAAGATATAATTAACACAGGAATCGGTACCTTTGCATCTTTCCTATGCATTTGTATCAAAGACTCAATGGTACAAACACAAGGATGCATACCTGTAAGGTTCCTAACCACACCTCTGCATTAAAAAGATTAGTGAGCAATCTAACAAAAGGGTGTTTACTTTTAGTGCACCCGGATTCTGTATCACTCAGCCCATTTGCAATCTGTAATACTGATATCATTTAATTGGTATTTACTGGTATTTTGGAGACAAAGGGACCTATGCTTCTCCATCAATCAGATTTAGTATATGCACAAAAGTCAAAACAAACCAGTCAAGAGACAGAAAAATTAAGCCTCTGGGATGCTACACTACTGTCTCTTGTGTGGTTAATTTTGATGATCTCGTTGAAGCACAGCCTTTAGCAATGTGCTTTTTCATACAAACATCCATAGCTCAGAGACGATTAATCACTATCTATTACTCACCTTCTGGCAACACCCACTCTAAGCTAGGCACCATCCAGACACATCAAGACAGTCCCCGTCTGAAGGTTTTGTGGTAAAAAAGAGCCATTTCTGAGACCCAATCTTGATGGACAGGCATCTACAGACCCCCATGGTACTCGACACAGCTACTAGGATCTGCCAGAATAAAGCTGTTCACAGGATAACTTTATCACAAATACCATTCTTTCAAAAAGGGACAAGGTATGTATTAAATACATCAGCTATACCTACTTTTCAGTACCTGCCAACTGCTACTGCTGTTACGGTACAAGTAAGCCTTGTGAAAGGATTTTGCTGAAGAAATACAGTGAATCTTCATAGATTTATCGATCAGAGCACCTCACTTGGTTACAGGAAAGTAGTTATTCTGTTCTTCTGTGGCATTAGTAACTTCTCAAACAAAGAAGCCTGATTGAGGCAGACAGTGAGGGGCTTATCAGCTTAGGAAATGGGAAGGATGGTCCAATTAACTGCCAAGCAGTCAGACATAATTCACTCTGACCAGGCCAATGAGAGACAAGTCCCAGAAATGCATGTCCTGTCCATTTATGTAACACCCAAACGTTCCCCCCTGGCAAAGTCTCCCCCTCTGGAAGTGTTACCTAACTAAGGAGCAAGCCAGCATAGGAAAATCTACCTGTATCAGGCTGCATCCAAACCAACACCCTCTCTGATTAAGCAACCACCTGTGGTACAGGAGACATTGCCAGTCACTAAACTGCTGAACTCAGGCACTAACAGCCATCATCAAGCAGACAGCCAGAAAGCTCAGTGCAAGGTTATCCAGGGTACACACCACTGTGCTGTCTTCTCACGTATCAATGAACGGGGCAAGATGTAGAAAGCACAAAAAGGAAAAAAAACCCTGCCTTGTAGGGTGTAGGTAGGCAGGCTTCATCTCCTTCTTCTGAGTCTCTTCTGCTAGCACAGAAATAGGCAGAATGTTACTGAAGTGATATGACAATGTTAAAAACAAACAAACAAATAAAAAACCTGAAGGCAAACCATATGTAACAGCTGATTAGGAAAGCTGTGAATCCAGCCACACAGCTGCTCTTCATGTCCTCTGCCACGCTTAGTACCCCACTAGTCCAGGGGAAACAGGAGGGCACAGAGAAAGAGGAAGAGGAGAAATTTCACAAAAAATGCTGGAATGAAAAGAGAAAGTTCTCAGTGAACCACAGTTCTAGCTTGGGATCCATCACCTAGGAGGCAGCAGGCATTTAAAGTGGAGACAGAAGAAAAAAAGAAAGAAAAAAAAAAGCCCACCAAACATTGATTCATAAATACAAAATTCATATGATGTTTATCAAAAGAGTGGAATCTTTATTCTGCAACAAATATGTGCAGGTGGCACCTGATCCATCCTTAGATAAGGCACCTTTTTTTGTATAATCCTCTTCATTTTTAAGTGCTAGACTTAAGACTGTCATGTTTAGAAATATATGCTTTATGCACTATGAGCAGGAGTGTAAAAAACCCCAGTTGTGTGAAATATTCACGTTACGTATGGCAACATCCTATTTGTCAGCCAGTTACCAGGAGCTAAGGAATCTGTGTGGTACTAGCAAAGTTGCCTTGCAGCAGGGTGTTAGAGCAAGCACGAATCGGACTATATATGGTATGTTTACTGAACGATTAGGCATAAAGATGTTACAGAAGAAACGATGTCTCTTGTATTAGATGCTGGGCTTCCTGCTGCAAGGCAAACCATCTTGCTCGGAAAGCAGTCTGTCACATATTCCTCATACGCTTCTGGCTGCGGGTGCCAGTGAAACCTCTAGAAAACAGGAACAGGTTATGCTGCATGTAATGATTAACTACATGGAGGATCAGCACTCCAAGCTCCGCCCGCCAGCATTCCCTGTCTCCTTGCTGCTCTTCCTCCCCCGCTACTTTTCGCTGGGACTGTTCGGCAGGCAACCCTGCGGAGGGCAGGAAGGCACACACACAGGCACATGCTGCGCTGCCTCTGCGACGAGATGACGGGTACGGACAAGTGCAACCTCTATTTCTTAAGAAACAGCTGGCAACAGGCGAGCCAGCGCTGCAACCCATCCGCCTGCCCCGCGTTCAAACCCAGTCGGCACAGGACTATTTCACAACGGGGAGGAGGGGGGAAAATCCTGAAAGGGCAGAGGGAGGAGGGTGTACTGAAGAAGATGCCTTAAAGCACAGGAGAAGGTTCGTACCTGGCTTCGGTGTCCTGCCTAACCTGTTTTGTGGTATGTTCCGGTTAACTCTCCTTGTGGTCGAGGTTGTTCCATGTTTTTGTTTTTTTGGCAGCCAAAGCCAAGTTGCAGCCCCTTCTCTCCTCTGACTCCTTTCATGCTCCATCACACTCCAGCACAAACATAGGCACACGGGAAGGAGACGCCAGAAAACAAAACACTGTGTTCATCACAGACTGAAACTGGATGCATAGTTTCTTTACTGGAAGGAACTGGATCAACTCACCAGGACCATCAGCCCTCAAGTGCCAGACTTCTCACCTTCATTGCTGCTTTTTGACATTTAGCAACTCCTCAAGAAACCGTCAAAACTATACAAAGTGGTAAGGGGGTGGGAAAACAAAGCAAAAAAAAAAATAACCCTCAAACCACATACGCAGAAGACTGCATGCCACACAAATCTAACCAGAGCACAGTGCAGGAGCAGCAGCAGCCATCACAGCACCAGGACATACCATCATACCACAGCAGATTTATGTCTTCACTGTGTACAGTATTCACAGGTTTAATGGATAGCCCAAAGATCAGAAATATAACTGTTAAGCAATAAAAGCATCAACTCAAAGCTGTGCTGGATGGTTTTTGACAGAGGTTAAGCGGTTAGTAACCAGCGACAAGAACTTGGTGGTGGCTCAGTAGCCATTTTAAGCAGCAGACATACTAATCGTGGGAGCGCAGTAACAAAAGAACCAGGGGCAAAAACATGCTACAAAAATGAGGATCCTGAAGAGCTCAGCAGCACACACATACCCCTCCATCGTGTGTAAAATAAACTTGGAGAAGCCAACAAAGAAGAAAGATGATTCCACGACCTCCAGAGCACAGCAAATCCCTAAGAGCAATAAGTGCTAGGCATCAGAAACTTCCTGGTTTCCAGGCCGTTGTTTCACATTTTCTGGGGAGTTTTCACACTGTGGGAAAGACTTCCAAGTACACTGAAAGTAAGCCTGCAACATCCCCTTCCACTCCCACAGCAAGTATGCAGTCCATAAAAGATTAAAGTGTTGGAAACATATGCTTGAACGAAGACTCCTTTTTTTTTTTTTTAAATCATATCAACAGTTTAGCAGTTGATGCATTTTCTCAAAATATTTTGCCATCCCATTTTTAAGGCAGCAAGGTGGGGGGCGGGGAGATAGAGCGAGTGAGCAAGAGCATGTGAGACACACACAGTCTGTAACTTCAACACAGATTTACAGATGTATTTACTATACTGTTTCTCTTTAGGGGCTTTTCAGGCCAGGGCAGCCTTTGTCTCTACGTGCTATATGCTAGCCAGCTCATAACAAATGAGCAATCTCAGCATAAGCCGATCTGGCTCCTTCTCTGAATCTGCTGGGACGCTGAGGCACAAAGATGTGCCTGAAAAACTTCTGTCCGGTTACAAATCTGATCAATCCCTTTGGTCACGCGAGCCCCTGAAGGCTGGTACAATTATTAACTGTGCTGCAGTCACATGAGAGAGAACAAGCTTCCCCTTCCCACCCTCATCCTGTGGGTAACATTATGTGGGCAGTGAATATAAGAAGGAACATGGTGAGGCGGGGATGTGTGTGGAAACCTCCACAGAAAGGCTGCACCAGCTGTCTTTTTTAATTATATTTTCTTTTTGGTGGACGAGTTAGGAACATTTCAGGCAAGCCTGACCAATGCCCAGACACGTTCAGGCACCCAAAGGAGGGTGGGGCGGGGAATCCTCATCTCCAATCAGTACCACCTTCATTAAAGAGGGGAAACTAGAGGTTTCCAATTTTCCCCATTTCTTAAACACAGTGATGATGGAGCACAGAAAGTATTTTTACTGAAGCACGACTGAGTAATTTCTAAACTGATGGGCTTACTTTGAAGATTTCTTATTTGTTGGAGGGGACTCAACAGGTATGAGAGAATAGAGATAGGGAAAGGAGCCCACTATGCTTCTGAGGAGAAACTCTTGGCATTGAGACAAATGAGACAGGCAGCATGAACTAAAACCCTAAGCTGCAATTCAGCTGCTGGCACCAGAGCCTCATGCAGCATCCCTGCTATATGTAACTAAGAATAGAGATGGCACTTTCCAAAAGCAGCTTTTCAGGACTGAGAGGGAAATGACAGAGAAATGGCATGGAACCAGCATGGTACCCACTAACCCCCAACTGTGCATCTGCCTACTCCTCATGCACCTCCTGGTATGCCAGAAAGCTGGTGTTGCATTATTTTAACTGTGAACCAAAAGTTGCAGATGTGTGTGCACTGTAGAAACCTGGGCTGGGAAACACTAAAGACATGCAGCCTCTCCAGGTTTCTCCGACACATCCTGACCCAGCACAGCAGCCCTCCCAAAAACAGTAAATTGTGCTGACCTTAGAAGGGGGATAAGCGGGGCAAGCAGTGAGAAAAAGTGTCAGGTTTGACATCAGATGATATTTCCTAGACATAATTAAAAATATAAAGCACAGTGCATCTTTAAGTGGTTATATCTAAACAGTCTCCAACCCTGTGGCACTTAAGGAGGGAGGGGGAGTGGAGATGTGGTTGATGACATACAATAAAACATAAATGAGCACATACAAAGTGCTACATATATTTTCAGTTAAGTTATAATTGAGTATGTCCTCAACAAAACAACTACATTTGTAATATTATACCATGCATCCATTTTATAAAATATTTCAAAATGTGCTTTTGCCTCGGCCCGCCTACACAAAATAATGAAGAAATATCACTTGTCAGGAACTCCCTAAGAAAAATAAACCTTAAAATAGCAGGGTACGCTCACTGAGTAACACGTATTTCTGCAAAACTGCTGTTCTTTATGTATTTTGCATCTGAAAACTGCAAGTCTCACACGCGTGCACACAAAAGACAGACAGACTGCTGCTGTGGACAAAATGGTGCCATTTAATACAAAAATCTGGTTTATGCATAGCCTGGTTGTAGTGCATGCTGGTCCCAAGCAGAGTGGGATGCAGCCAGTTATATCGAACAGTTGTGCCCTCAGCAACAAATGGTGCATTCATAAAACTGGAAAAGCCTCTGTCTAGGGGATTGCAGCTCTGCAAAGGAAACAATCGCTTGCTGACATTTTCTGAGGGAGAGTATGGCCAAAAGAGGTTGAGGGGGAGAAGTATGATCTACAGGAAAGCTATGTTCAGAAGAAATACCAAAATATAAGAGAAAAAACCCAAATCTGCCACTGAGCTCTCTTTGCACTCTCCCTCCATTAGCTAGTCTCTAACAAAAGAACAAGGCCACCTGAAAAAGACATGTGCTTGGAAAACACTGGGCCAGTCAAGAGTATACAAGAAAAAGAAGAAGGAAAGAAAAAAAGCTTTCTTGTAGAACTCTAGCCCATGAAGAAGCGACAGACATCACGCAGGCTGCAGTACACAAAGCCACATCTGACAGTCAGTTTCTCACAAGTTTCTTATCCTTGCCTTTATTAGCTATGCCACCTCCACACTGGTAACTAAAAGCCAACATCTGGTGCTAGCTAAATGTCAGCACAGACAATCCCTTTAATAAAAATTTAAAGAGTCTGGGTCTCAACGAGGAAATCATTAGTGCTTTGAATGTAAGACCCTCCATGAGAGCTGAAAGACTGAAACAATCCAGGTTTTTAAGCTGTGCGAAGCAGTGACTTTGTTGTGCACTAAGCCACATCTCCAAGCCCCATGCTACCTTGCACAGGGGATGCTCGGTTCACAGCCAGTAGTCTAAGTGTAGTCCATCTGGATAGTTTATCTGGTCAGCACCCTGCACTGGGAAGCCCAGACGGGTCTGTGGATGCCCAGGTCTTGCTGCAGGATGGGAGCATGCTATGCAGTCTGCCCTCGGCCTAGGGAGCTCTGTCTCCTGAAGCTGAAATGCTGGGTACCGCAGCTTGCCTCAAACACACCTGCCATCTGCATCTCTGAAACCAAACCTGGCTTGCCCCTAAGATCCATGAGACACCCATACAAGTCAATGCAAAAGTGCTCCTTTTGGAGCTAAGCAGCATGGCTTATTAATGAATACCTGTCACCTGCTCTGTTCCACTGAGCTTAGAAATAAAACAAAAAACTCTCAAATCATACACTGTAACTAAAGTTCAGTGGGAGAGTCAGTGAAAGTTTCCATAAGAGGGAAAAGAAACTGAGGCCCACCTGCACACTGATAGGAAATAAAAAAAAAAGTCTCCCCAAGCATTCCTGGCTGCCCTGAGGCTGCAGTGGGGGACGCACCCTGTTTCTTCCCAGCGCTTACGCAGCACAGAGGTCTCATATCTCACCCAATAACAGTTTTCTACCAAGCCAAAAACTAACCAACGACAGTTTTGAAGTAATGAGACTGTCTTCCCTGGTAAAGGCAAGCCCAGCTAAGGACAGAGGACAGAAATTTTTTGTAATGGCTGTGACAGAAAGAGTCCCTCCATTATATTGTCATTAAAAGACTGTGTGCAAAGAGACTTAATAGTCTTGCACTGTCTCTTGCACTGAAGCCTTTGCAAAGGAATCTAGAAAAGGGATGCATGTAATTCTTCCTACCTCCAGTGCACCTTACAGTCCTTTAAAAGCCTTTTATGATTCAGAGGGAAACAGGACTGTGGTCCCACAGACTGACAGTAAAAGAGATTTAAAAAAACCCAAACAAACAACAACAACAAAAAAAAAGGATGAGTGGTTCTTCCAGAGAGAGAAGGCCATTCCTACACCTCAGTGCTACGAGCAGCAAAAACCTGCAGCTCTACTGGAGTCAAGGAATAAACACTAGGAGCTACAGTGGTGAGAACTGAGCAATAGCTATTGGGGGACTGGAGAATGAATGGTAATGCTTTTGTTTACCAGCTGTGCACTGTAAATGATTGCTTTTGCAAGAAAGTTTGCGCTGCAGTTGCACAAAGAATTTCAATAAAACTGTTTAAAAAGCCACTTCATTAGTGCTGGTTATCAGTTGGAGACATAAAGCAAATACAAAACTGCAAATGCTTTTGCAGAGGCATCAAAGCAATCTAAAAACTGATTTTATTCCTAGGTCAGTTTCCAAGCAAGGCAAAAGTTTACATATACGCTTAATGTTCAGTACATGCTCCCATTAAACCTGCCCTTAGTACTAAGTGAATGTATTTTAGAATTCAAGTGGCACACACGATTTGGTTTCCCTCTACAGGCCTTACAAAGGCTTCTAATAAACACATGATCGACATATTAGGAAATTGTTTGTTTTAAATTTGGAGAAGGTAGCAAAAACACCTGGGAAGTTGTGAGAGAACATCAACAGAGTTAAAAAGGAAATCACATCCCAGCCTCCTGAAATACTTTAATATAAAGCCCTTTGGGAAGTTTGTGAATAAGAGATGAAAAAAGAAGTACTTCATTTGAGAACTGTCTTTCCTTTGA